CGCACCTCGCGGGCGATGGCGGCGGCCACGCGGCGCAGCTTGGCCTGCTCCTCCCGCTTGGCGCGCTCCTGACGCTGCCGCTGCTCCTCGTGGTGCCGCATCACCATCCGCACCACCTGCACAGGTGAGACACAGGTGAGACACAGGGGAGACACAGGTGAGACAGGTGAGAGACAGGTGAGACAGGTGTAGACAGGTAAGGGACACCCCCAACCCCGCTGCTCCTCGTGGTGCCGCATCACTGTCTGCACCACCTGCACAGGTGAGACACAGGTGAGATACAGGTGAGACACAGGTGAGAGACAGGTGAGAGACAGGTGAGACGCAGGTGAGACACAGGTGAGACGCAGGTGAGACACAGGTGAGATACAGGTGAGTCACAGGTGAAACAAAGGTGAGATACAGGTGGGAGACAGGTGAGATAAAGGTGAGTCAGAGGTGAGAGACAGGTGAGAGACAGGTGAGAGACAGGTGAGACACAGGTGAGTCACAGGTGAGAAGTGAGACACAGGTCAGACAAAGGTGAGATAAAGGTGAGTCACAAGTGAGACACAGGTGAGACACAGGTGAGACAGGTGAGTCACAGGTGAGTCACAGGTGAGTCACAGGTGAAATACAGGTGAGACACAGGTGAGTCACAGGTGAGTCAGGTGTGCAGACACCACGTGGATGCTGCTTCTCCAAGTGACCAAACCCAAACCCATCCCAACCTGGCCCAGGTGTTCCCAGGTGTGCTCAGGTGTATCCAGGTGTCACCTGAGCTTCTTCAAACCCACCTGAGATGCCACCACAGGTGCTCCAGGTAACCCAAACCCACCAAAAATCATCAAAAATCGCCCAAATTTCACCCAAATTTCACCCGAATTTCACCCAAATTTCACCGGAATTTCTCCCAGGTGTTCCCAGGTGTTCCCAGGTGTTCCCAGGTGTGCCCAGGTGACACCTGAGCTTCTCCAGGTGTCCCAAACCCATCTGAGATGCCACCACAGGTGCTCCAGGTAACCCAAACCCACCAAAAATCGCCCAAAAAACCCCAAAAATCGCCCAAATTTCACCCAAATTTCACCCGAATTTCACCGGAATTTCACCCAGGTGTTCCCAGGTGTGCCCAGGTGTCACCTGAGCTTCTCCAGGTGACCCAAACCCACCTGAGATGCCACCACAGGTGCTCCAGGTAACCAAAACCCACCAAAAAACCACCAAAAATCGCCCAAATTTCACCCAAATTTCACCCGAATTCCACCGGAATTTCACCCAGGTGTTCCCAGGTGTGCCCAGGTGTGCCCAGGTGCGTTACCTTCCTGGCCACGCCCCTTTTCCAGCGCCTCTCCTGGGCGAAGTCGGCTGCCAGCCACTGCATCTCCTCGCACAGGTAATCCCAGTGCACCTTGGGCCGCGCCGGCTCCGGAACCTTGGGCAGGCGCCGAAGGGACCAGAAACCCTCGCGCTTCATCTCGGCCACGCGGTGCTCCACCTCGGCCTCCTGCACAGGTGAGACACAGGTGAGGGACAGGTGAGACAGGTGAGGGACAGGTGAGGGGACACAGAGAAAAAAAACCGCAAAAAAATCGGGAAAAAAAGCAAAATTTTATGGCGAAAGTGGGAAAAAATTCATTTATTTGACTCTGAAAGCACCTGGATTGAGTTCTAAGGACAGGTGAGACACAGGTGAGAGACAGGTGAGACACAGGTGAGACACAGGGGAGAGACAGGTGAGACACAGGTGAGGGACAGGTGAGACACAGGTGAGACACAGGTGAGACACAGGTGAGCACAGGTGAGACACAGGTGAGACACAGGTGAGACACAGGTGAGACACAGGTGAGACACAGGTGAGACACAGGTGAGAGATGGGGGAAAAAAAAAATCCCAAAACCACCAAAATTCCCGACATTTTATCTCCCAGTTCATCCCAGTATAAACCAGTCCAAACCAGTCCAAACCAGTATAAACCAGTCCAAACCAGTCCAAACCAGTCCAAACCAGTATAAACCATTCCAAACCAGTCCAAACCAGTCCAAACCAGTATAAACCATTAACCCTTACGTGCTTGGCCTGCTCGGCGATCTCGGCCTGGCTCCTCTCCCACATCCCCCAGTCCAAACCAGTATAAACCAGT